ATTACTACCACCTACCTAAATTTTCTAAACCCCTACTATCTAGGATTGTTATTATCAATAATGGCCTCATAGATATACTTCCTCTAGTCAGATTTTTAGGGTAGAACGAGAAATTTTTTTTTATTCTATGTATAAATTATGCCATTAAATTTTTATCATAAATTTTTTTTTTTGCTCTCCATTGAATGTTAGAGGAAAAAATATATTATTGAAGTGTATATATAGGGGCAAAGTTGAGAACTTATTAACTTTTAAAATAAAATTAATAAATTTTAAGGTTTTTCTTAATATTGGTGAAACATGTTAAAAGTTATTTATAAATAAAAATAAAAGAGTATTAAAGATGCCTATGAAGATATCTCAAGATTTGAATTCAAGGTTCAAAATAAGCCAATTCCCTTGACCAGTTTAATCAATTTTCGTCCCTCCATTCAATTCCATCTGTCTTTATTATTTCTTATTCAAATATATTCTTAAAGCATCTTCTTAATTAAAAATCTACAGAATATAAATCTAGCTATATGAATATATACATGAAAGCGACGATCCATTCATTTTCTGGGTATAAAATGCAGATATGGGAGACTCCATAACTTCTCATCAAGTCAAAGAAAATTGAAGTCTTACAAAGTGAGACAGTTTCATAGTATATCAAAATAGTTTTCTATTCTAACTCGTCTCTTTGTCTGATAAATTAATAGTGCTAGCTGCAAAATATAATGGTGGTCTTAGGCTACAAGGAACCTGCTCCTCCTAAGTTCGCCAGAGGAATTATCAGCTGGGAAATTCCTCCAACTGATCATTTTTGGAACCACAGCGTGGAAGGCGATGGAGACGACGACGACGATGACGACAATGGTGGAATTGATGTAGCCCCAGCAGCCTAAACACAACGAGTAGATTGTGAACTGGTATTATTGAGAAGGAGATAACTAAGACATATATATGTGTAGTATTTAGTGCAAGCTTCTAGAATCTTGCCTGCACTATCTGTTTTCTAGCTAGGTACTGATATATTTACGATGTTTAAATAAAATAATTGAGCTAGGTTTTAGTTCTTGTGTGTATGTGTGGATTTTCCCTCTATACATAGCCATGGTTATATGTCTCTGTATCTCTCTCTCTCTCTCTCTCACACACACACACACACAAAATCTGTGTAACTAGTTACTACAGTCCTTCTACATATTTACACAGTCATGAATAAATAAGGTTATAGTTTATATATGCGTCTATGCAAATTAATATGTTTTGTGTATCTGTGCGTGTTTCTGTGTGTAGTTCTATCATTTAAATGAGGGAAAGCTTAAATTTTCTCAGTTCTCACACATTTCCACTCTCTTAATCAGTACGTAAAAAGATACAATCCAATTGCAGATGGTATAACGCGTGTGTGTGTAAGATACAATCCAATGTCTGAAGGCGCTTTTAATTTTTTTTTTCGTTTTTCTAACAATATCTGTTTCAAGTTGATTAGGGTTTAATTTTCATTCTTAAGGAAACAACGATAATGACTGGCAAATAAAATATAGACTATTTTACTAATGTAATTATTTATCAAAGTTAAACGTGGAATAACTTTGTAATTAATTGAAGACATCGTTGCATCTCTCTAAACAAGAGATGCTCCTGAATTTAATTTTTGTACTTTTTTTAGTCTTCCTTCTCAAAAGCACACATTAATTACTATAGATAAAGTGTTTCCTTAATTAATTATCAAAGCTTAAATTCTGTGGGTTACACAAATCATTGATATATTATATATTACATATACTATGTATTGTCCATGTTTTAAATTTTGTTTTGTCGCGCCACATCATGTTGAGAGTATTGCAAATAATGATATAATAATATTAGTATGTATTATTGAGAGCTTCATCACCCTTTCTTTCTTTTGCTAATAACAAATCAAGTCTAAAATTAAGGGGCATTTGACATATGTGAAGAGGCATCATTTGCAATTAATATATAATAAGTTACTCATGCAACTTTGTTAATTCGAATGTTTTAAAAGTTATTGATTAAAAACACACCGTTACTTTTCATTTGCGTGCAACTTATAGTCAATTATATGGCTTATTAATTTTTTTTAATGAATTAGTTGATTAATATTAAATATGTGATGCATATGCTGTATATTGTTGTTTTGTTTGCAGTCACGTCTTTCTTAGGAGTATATTTAGAAATAAACTTATATCATTTATAGTGCATGATGTATGCAGAGCTCAAAATTTAAAAGTTTTCTTAATAAATGTACTATCATTTAAGTTTTATTGAAATACATAGAAAAATATTAGATAAAAACAAAAGTTCTATAAAATATGTTTAAAATATTAAAATTATATTTAAATTTGCATAGAGCTTGAGAGAAAAGTCACATTATTCTTCGTAACTTATGAATAATTAATCCAGTTTTTCCATAGATCATACTATGCAAATTGTTTGCAAATCAAATTAAAGGGTTTTTTGTTACAATTTAATTTAAGACTAAAATATAGAGATGGACTACAACAGAAGTCAGAAGATTGAAGCCCACTTGGAGATGAGCAATCTATCCTTCGTTCTTAGTTTTTCAAATGATTCTGATGAATTTCTGATCAACGATCAAGAAAAACTACAACTGAAAATTAAAATCCAGCACTCGGTCGAGAACTGCCACTAGGATCATGTATCCAGAGCACGAGAGTTTTCCAATTAATGGACTACAAATTAATGAAATAAAAGGAGTCTTCAGGACGATTAATTGTACCATTGGCTTAAACTTAATTAACATGAACCCTAATTTGATTAGACCACTTTAATCTTGCACAACTAAAACAATATTGGCATACCAACATTAATTTTCTAACAATTACATGTGTGATGACAAGAATTTCCTGATCCAGCAACACCTCTGATTACCTTTCCAAATACAAGAATTGGAATTTGGATAACATAAAATCTGAGATGATTTCAAAGTTTTTACAGAAAGCCTGCTTCTATCAATAAATCACAAGGAGTGTAATTATATAAAACTTAATGTAGTGAAAAATGATTATTATAGGGGATTTGTAATTGGTATGCCATCAAGAATCATAGAATGAAAATGCTTTATCCAGAAAAACAAATAAATAAATGTGAAATGATATTTCTATCCCTATATATAAGGATATCCAGATGTTGATTTTCATGAAGGGTATATATGTCTAGCTAGATGTTGATTTATTGAGGCATGAATACGCACCAAAAGTTACGTATAATATAATGGGGATCATGTAATTTATTGTCATATGTTATTATCATGATTACATTGGAATACTTCACTCTACCAAACTAATACTCTGAATCATTAAAAAGCATCAAAATTACTTGTATGTTACCAACACAGTTTAAAAAAAAGCTCATCTTAAAAGACTAATAAGTTTAATTTGGTGAAAGAGTTTATTGAACTTATAAACATACTTCACTTTTAAAACTCCTTAAATTGAGACTCATAATAATGTCATTCCATTCAAGATTCAACATTTTAAGTGGCTCCACTCCATGACACTTCACTCGGGCCTATTGTTGATCAGAATTCTTCATGAATAACTCTCTTCATGATAACCTGATGAATGATGCTGTAATTGAACTAAATTAACATATATACTATTAGTACCTATCTTGGACTATTATATTATCATGCTCGGTTTAGTTTCTGCTTGAAGGATCATCTATGGCTAGGAGAGAATTTATAGTCGATTCAAAAGAACTTGATTCCCCATAGGTCTAAGCCCGGTCGACCTCCTCAACAAAACCGGATTTTAAATTTGAATCCTTTAGCTTGGTCAGCTGCATTTTTGGACATTCCATTGCTGAGGTCATTCCATAGCATTGTTCTTGATATTCAGCAACCTTAACGGGAGACTTTGGGGATTATTAATTATCACAATGATCCACGTCATTGGAATATTGGTATGGAACAATGTTGTTGAACACATGTTCTGTGTGCGAACCCAACACCAGACATGAGCTTTGCTCGAGTTGGGGTCCTCACTTGCCCATTTGGACCAAACGAAGAGACCAGACAATCCCAAGTAATCTATTGGTTGCTTTTGTGTAGTCATAAAGTAATGTAGTGAGGATGTAGCATGAAAACGAAGAAAAAAAGTCAACCTATATTCTCGTGATATGGTTAGTACTTAATTGCCCTATATGTCATCTCTCTCACTTAGAAAAGGTTATGGATTCGAACCTAATATTAACATGTGTTGTGTGTATATGTGGATGTGTGCGCTTTCGTTTCCCATAGAGAAGGGCTAAGTTAGATATAAAATTTTAAATACTATTAATTTTCTGGGCATAATTAAAATGCAGATATGGGAGACTCCATGCCTTCATCATCAAAAGACAAAAGTCAAAGAAAAGTCTTGCAAAGAGGCAGATTCATAGTATATATATGAAAAGTTTCCTATTCTACCTCGTATAATTGTCTCATGAATTTATATATATATATATATATATATAATTTCTGCATTATCAAATATTATAATGGTGGTCTTGGGTTGCATGGAACCTGCTCCGCCCAAGTTCGCCGGATTGGTGACGGTAATGTAACATCCCAATTTAAATTTTAATAGTTAATTTAGGTTAATAGAAATTTTTTTTTTAAAAAAATAATAATATTTAGAGGTAAGAAAATTAGTAGAAAATGATTATTAAATCTAATTTAGGATATAATTCTAAATTTTAAAAAAAATTTAAAAAAAATAAATAAATTTATTAAAAAAAATTAATTAAAAAAATTAATTATTAAATTATTATTATAAAAAAAAAGGGAAAAAGGTATGCCAAAACAAAAAAAAAGGAAGAAGAAGAGAAAATGAATTTGCTTTCGGCGACGCATGAATAGTAAGTATAAAATAATAATAAAAAAAAAGGGGGGGAAGAGAGAGAAGAAGAAATAATAATAAAAAAAATGTGTGGGACCCACTGAATTTTTATAAAAACTCACCTTCCTTCATTTCCTCATTCATTCTGCGCGCGAGCTGAGGCGGAGAGAAGCGAGTTGCCGGTGCGAAATATCTAAATTTTTAAGGTAAGAGTTTTTAATAGGATATTTAGGGTGTGATTTTAAGCTTTTCAAGACTAAGTAAGTGTTCTAAAAAATTTTCTTAGTCATCCTTCTTATTTAGTTTCTGAGTTTGTAGTGGTAGAAAATTTAAGATCTGGAAGAGGGATGAATTTATGTTGAATAAATATGATTTTTGAGGTTGTCAGTAGTATAATAAATGTTCTAGAGTATAAATTTATTGATGATCTTTGAATCTGTGGCTTATGGATCAAATTCTAAACTAGATCTGAAAATATATGTTGATTTATTGAGGTTTAGATGATTATTTGGGATGAGAAATGAATTATTATGGTTATAGGATTATGATTCTAAGCTAGAGACTCAATTTTTAATTTTTGGATATTTTAGGTACGAATTTATAAAATAAAAAAAAATTTTGATAATAGAAATTAGTTTAAAATTTGATTTTTAGATTATTAATGTTTATTGATAATTAAAAGAGGAGTTAAAAATTTTACTTAATAGTATTAACTATAGATTTGTATTAAGATTGAGATTAGGAATTATGTTATATTTTTAATTCTATTATTAGAATTATTTTATTAGTTTCAAAAATTGAAACTAATATTTATAAATAATATGTTATTTGTAGATTGTATTACTGGTGAAGATTGTGGAGAGAGAGAAATTTTAAGGAATAATTTATTGAAAAAGCCACAAGGTAACCATGCTTTTAATTTATGATTAGTGTTACTTCTTGTTAATTGGGTGATTATTGAGAAAATTATGAATTTTGTAATATTGTATAATTGTGCAATATTATTATGAATTTGTTTAATTATTGTGGGAGGTGTTGGGAGACTTGCTATTATTGTTGTATTTATGTGCCACGTGGTACGCCCCTATTGTAGCTCAATAGGTGGCTTGTAAGGGCTCGGGCTAATCTACCTTTGGCCTGGTAATTTAGCACCGAGTGAGGGCTACGGCTCGAGGTTAATGGAGGGATATAAGGATGGTTGTTTGTGTTTATTATAATATTTCTTATATTTGTTGGAATTATATTATTTTTAATTCTCACTTAGTAAGCACACACTTAACTGTTTGTATACACTATCATAAATTGGCTTTGGTTACTGGGACTTTTGAGTCTCATTATGTGGTTAACAATTTTCAGGAGAAGAGCCACGAGTGACACGTAGAGGAGTCCCAGAGGCTTAGTGGTATAGATCCACTGTCTCTTTTGGGTATTTAATTTATGATTTATAATGTGTTATATTGCCAATATTAGGACTTTTTTATGTTTATTGTCAATTATATGAATATATAAATGTAATCATGCCTTTCAAACTATTTCTATTTTTGGTACAATTTGGATGACTGTAATTTTAATATTTGGTTTACTTTGGATTGGTTAAAATGGCATGATTATAAGGTCAAATAACTGGCTTATGTTAAAAATTGATTAAATTGCTTATTTTACTTGTTGGGAGTATAAGGATGGACAAATGTGATTTAGTTTACTTGTTGGGAGTATAAGGATGGACAAATGTGATTTAGCCTAATGGCATGTGGGAGGTAAAAATTTATCTGAAATGTTATAGTGTGTGAGTTGAAGCCAATTATAAAATATTTTATATCGAAATTATTGATATAAAAATGTGTTGGGTGGCTGTAACCCAACTATGGTTGAGTTAAATTATTTAAAAAAAAAAAATTTGGTGTGTTACAGGTAATGGGATTGATGAAACCCCAGCAGCCCAAGAGCTGCGAGTAGATTATGAACTGGTATTTTATATATATAGACAAGGAACTAATAAGAGTTGTGTGTGTGTGTGTGGGCGTAGTATTTTGAGCTTATAATCTTTGAATCTTGCCTGCACTAATTGTTACTTATTACCTATATATATATATAGTGTTTAAATATAGTTTATATGATTTCAATCGCTCTCCACATATCCATGGTTTGCAAATATTTTTCTAAAACGGTTTTTATCGAAAAAAAGCTTCGTTTTGTCGAAATTGTAACATTCACAAGTGGGCCGGGTCAGCCTTTGTTGCTGAGATAAAAGCAGCGAAGAAGGCCATTGAGCAGTTGGAATTATTATTATTATTTTTTATTTTATTTTATTTTGGAAGAAATCCTGTAAAATGGTATGCTATGTATATTGAGGCAATGGAAAGAAGTGGTATTGATTCAAGACACATGAGACAATATTTAGTATACAAAAAAGTGTTTTTTTCTTGAAGAGAATAGAAAATGTATTTAGAAAGAAAATGGGATGGATACATTTTAAAAAAAAAAACACTTTTCTACACATCAATCCTTGCATAAGTGTTTTTGGTTTTATGATTTTATTTCTTTTAAGTTGTATGAGTGGTTCTTGTTTGTGTGAGGTTTGTATGATAGGGAGTAATGTTTTTTTGGCTTTAGTTATTGGTATTAATAAAATTCATTAGTATTAATAAAATTCACTTGTTTTGGCCGGCAAAAAAAAAAAAGAAAAAGAAAGAAGAAAGAAAAGAAAAGAAAGAAAGCTATGCAAGTATTTTGTGGTGGTGTTATTTTATTTTATTTAAAAAATTGGCGCCCTCTTGTAATTAAATGCAATGGGAATTATAATAAGTTATCAATTTTCCCCACCTAGCTAATAGAATAGAAGCTAAGTCTAACACAATTGTTTAATCTCATCTTCCGCAAAATGTTCATGGGCTTCTTGTATATCTGATCCAATGTAATAGGATTGAGCTTTGGTCCAAACTCATTAGGCCTGTTCTGGTTTAGATGAACTTTTGAAGCCTACTTGATGGGGTTATGGACAAAAAAACTTGGCCCTGGCTGGCTAGCTCCAAAAAAATAAAAAATCAACTGGCCTCAACCCTGCGTATTGCGCGAACTACGAATATTTACACCTTTTTTAAAAAAACAAACAAACAAACAAATCAATTGCTAAAACAGAATAAATACTCGCTTCAAAAATAATTTTCTATAATATATTAATATTGATTATCAATTAACTCTTAAAAGAACATAGCCTAAAGACTTGCGACAAAATTGATAATCACCCTCTAATCAGACATATCAGGACTATTAGAGAGCTCATCATGTGTAATTGAATGGTAACAATCGATTGTGTCTTCAGAAAAATGAACACCTGTGTTGATTGATTAGCTTATCATGTTAATTAAGATAAGTTTGATGCTATTATCTATGATGATCTATCTCTAAGACACAGAGATATATCACCAGCTAACCAAACTTATTTTTTAGTTATATTAATGCATGATTTTATCATGATCTTTGTATTTCCAAAAAAAATTGTTAGAAGTGAAGAATGAAAGATCGATTCTTTTCCTGTTGTACAAAATGCTAAGATATTTTATTATGTGTATATTATTATTAATTATTATAGTTAATAAAAAAATCTTTTATTCTTTATTACTAACATTATCGAGTGGCATAAAAATATTATGAAACTAGCGAGTTACTTTTTTTATTTTACTCCTTTTTCATTCATTCAATGTTGTTTTGAATAGAATGAATTTTTTTTTATTTAGCAGTAATGGAAATAAATAAACGTTCGTTCCAAATTTTAACTTTTTTAAATAACATGATCTTCTATAACTCAACATTACAAAAGGTAAGAAATATGGAATTGACGTGATCCAAGCAGTCCGTGTTTGAATTTGACTGGAAGAAACTAATATAAACAAAAAAATAAAAACGAATTAAATGATTGGCGTGTTCTCGGCATTATTTTCTGCACATCTTTTTTTTTTTGGTTTGCACATCTTTGGTAAAAAAAAATGTTAAACTTAAAAAATTAAATTTAGTAATAATTTTCAACAAGTAAATACAGTATTAATAAGAAGAGTTTTTTTTGTCTTTTTGTTGTAATGTTGCACGTGCTTTTTTTTATTTAAATGTAGTTGTGATTCTCACAATCACCAAGCATGAAAACTTGATTGATGCATTAATTCACCGCCAAAAAAGTTAAAAAACATTAAAAAAAATTGGGAATGAATTGGTCCGTCGCAAATTTTATGGTCGCAATTTTTTTGCAACAAAATTTCACGTTTTTCACCTCATATATATATATATATATATACTCGCACGTTTGCATCCAGCTAAATAGGAGAGTGCGATTCTTAAAAATTAAAAGTTTTGACTTTTGAGATTAGAATTTAGGAAAAATGGCAAATCAATCCTCTCCAAATTCACAAATAACAAAATAATACTATGAAATGAGATAATTACTTTTTTTTTTACAAAATTCCATTCATGACCTTTTATAAAATAATTAAAAACATAGTAAAAACCTAACGAAGGTAAAATTGTTAATATAAAAAGTGTAGTTATTATTTCATGACTAATTAAATTGAAGTTATAATGAACTGTATTATTAATATTTAAATTAAAATTGTTAATCATTAAATTGAAGTTGTTAATACTGAAAACAACTACGCTTATTTCCTAAAGTTGTCAATCACTAAACTACAACTACATCTTATATTAATTAACAACATTACCATTGTTATTAATGACTTTAGTCTAGATATTAATAACTATGATTTTTATTATTTTACTTTGGGTTAAAAATGTATTTTTGCATAAAAATTTGTGTGATACAAGTTCCTAGGGGCTTCAAAGTAATTACTGTACCTTGTGGTACTTATTTGTCATTTGTTTATTTTGATAAGATTTATTTTTTATTCTCCTGTAATTTATTCTTTTGGATAATGCATAAATATTTTGAAATCATAATTAATTGGAGAGACATGAATAAATGATAGTTTCAAGGAACACGAGTTATAAAGAGTACAGTAAGTTGTGATTGACTAGATTATAGTTTTAACCGGCTCCTGTGCGCTATGCATGTCTTCTAAATATCGTTGATTTTTAGATATTTTATTATATACATTAATACAATTATATCCCTTGTATCATTAAAAAATTAATTTTTTTAAATCTAATGAATTTTATTAAAATGCCAATGAATTTTAAGGTACGCTCGTTGTTTTCATGAAGTGGAAGTCCATTTGAAATGTTGCCCGAACCTCCTGTTTCGTTGGACAGGAATCGAGGGAAATAGAGATCTTAATAAATTTGATTTAAAAGAAATGGTTAAGCTAAGTATGGGTATGAAATTTTAATAAAAAAATATATATAATAAAAGAATGAGAAAAATTAATTTAAAATTTAAAAATTTTCTGTTCCTCTTCTTCACATTTTTAAAATTAAACTCAAAAGAAATTTCTCATCCCTTCTTCTTTGTTATCCTCTAACCAAACACGACATAGGGCAGAAATTGAGTTTCACTACTTTGAAACAATAAAATGTCTACGAGGGGTTAGCAATATTATTTAAGACCAATAATTTTTAAGTTTTATAAAATAAGATTTATTTTGTAAATTTTTTAAGAATAAATATTATTTTACTCTCTCGATTAAAAAATATAAGGCATTTTTTAGGCGTTAGATATTTAAAAATATAAAAAAATTTTAATCTTTTGAGGTGTAATTATTACTTTTTTTTAAAAGTATCCCTATTGATAATGACTTTATATTTATTATAAGAATTTAATAAAAATAATATAAAATATAGGGTTAATTAAAAAGTATGTAACTATTTTATTAAAAGTGAGATTTGATTAAAATATTTTAAATTTTTAAACGGAGGAGTATACTTAATTATGATAATAAAAAGTGATTGTTATGTAGTTATTTTAAAATTTTGATATCTTTTAAATTTTATTTATAAAAAATAATTTATTAATTAATTATTTTAAAAATTTATAATATCTTCGTATATCTTTGCATTTTTTATGACACTTTTTTATATACTATATCATATTATTTTTATAAGCTATCCAAATAATTAGAAACATTTTTATATTCCAATTGATTTCAAAAAAGTTTTTAAAATACCATAAAATTTATCAAAATAAATTATTTAAAAAATAAATATTTTTTTCATTAAAAAAACACTTAAAACAAACAGCCTTTAAAACTTGATACAAGTATATCATATTATCAAAGTGTAAATAATGAATATAGCTAATAACAAAATACGTTTTTTAATTATAATTTCTTTATATCCATGTTGATTGATGGATAGGTATTTTTGTGCATATCGTCGAAAGTTCCAAGAGAGAAAAGGAGAGCCATTAGTTCTTGGCCTCGACAGAATGAGTGGTGGTGCTTTGTTTATTGTTTCCAAGTCAACGATAATAATCATGAAATTAATTAATTAATAATATCAATGACATACTGACTGACATGTACGACAAGTGTAGTGAAGGCTGGTCGTGCAAAACGTGGGATTAGATTAGATTGATTGATTACGTACGCTTGCAGGAGTTGTTTATGTGTATTTGTAAATTTTTAATATTTTGTTGATTCTCGATGACATATGTATTCATGAATATC